GTGGGCCACTGGGGGATGGTAGTGAGCCTGTGCGGCTGTCTATACATGTGGGCCAAGCATAGCTGCTGCTGCTGCTGTTTTTGTTTTTGTTTTTTTAGTAATTTTACATTTACAGAAGAGTTACAAAGATAGTATAGAGGTATAGAGTTCTTATCCAGCTTCCTGTAATGATAATGTTTTTTTATAACCAAAGTACAGGTATCAAAACTAAGGAATTAACATTGGCACAGTCCTATGAATACAATTGTAGATTTTATTCATATTCCCCCAGTTTTTCCATGAAATGTCTTTCCATTCAAGAATCCAGTCTAGGGGTTAAAGTTAAACGTCCGACTTCAGCTCACGTCAGGATCTCACAGTGCTTGAGTGTGAGCCCCATGTCGGGCTCTGTGTTGACAGCTCAGAGCTTGGATCCTGCTACAGATTCTGTGTCTCCCTCTCTCTCTCTGCCCCTCCCCTGCTCATGCTCTGTCTGTCTCTCTCTCAAAAATAAAGATTAAAAAAAAGAAAAAGGATCTAGTCTAGGCTACCTTTTGCATTTAGTTGTTGGCTTCTTAGTCTCTTTGTAGCAGAATTCTCACACAGAATCATGACACCAAGGCTTACCTTCCCAGGAAGCAACTTTATTTCTGCCGGCACCACTCAGTTGGGTTTGTACCCAAAGAACTGGACCCCGAATGTCTCGTGGTATGATTTTTTTTATACATTTTCTATTTCTTTGTCTCCCATATGTGGTAACACACACAAACATGTAGTCTAATTAAGTAGTCTTTGTTTACAAGGTCATGAGGGATGTTGTCACATAGGCACATAGCCAGGTTACCTTAAAGTTTTTTTGTTTTGTTTTTGTTTTTTCTTTCTTTTTTCTCTTTTTTTCTCTCCTTAGGGAGAGAAACATTTCCACCTTTGATGCTCAGACTTCTCTATTTCGTTTCATAGAGCATCATCTTGGTTTAGAGGTTTATATATTTAAAAAAAATTTTTTTTAATATTTATTTTTGAGATAGAGACAGAGCACAAGCTGAGGAGGGTAGAGAGAGAGGGAGACACAGAATCCGAAGCAGGCTTCAGGCTCTGAGTTGTCAGCACAGAACCTGACGCGGGGCCCAAACCCATGAACCATGAGATCATGATCCGAGCCGAAGTCAGATGCTCAACTGACTGAGTCACCCAGGCTCCCCAAGAGGTTTATATTTTTATAACATTATTACATGAGTGGCCGTCCTTTTTTGTGTTTAACATTTTTTAACGTTTATTAATTTTTGAGAGAGAGAGACAGAGCATGAAGAGGAGAGGGAGACACAGAATCTGAAGCAGACTCCAGGCTCTGAGCTGTCAGCATAGAGCCCAACGCAGGGCTTGAAATGACAAATTGCGAGATCATGACCTGAGCCAAAGTCAGTCACTTAACCGACTGAGTCACCCAGGCGCTCCCCCTGCTTTTCTTCTTCTTCTTCTTGTTTTTTTTTTTTTGAGTGGCTGTCCTTTTTAAATCATGGCCTCAGTGAGACTGGAGACGGACCGTACAACCAAGGGAACTAAGCAGGGTAAGGTTAAGCACCCTCCCAAAATTAGGAGGATAATTCCCATGAGGGTTTTGAATCTCCTGAGAGTTGAAAACCATCCTCCAAATAACTCCTGGGGTCCCAACCTTTCCATATCTGAACTGGGACATGAGTAACTTTTCTCATTGATCTGTGATCTCCTCTGTGACTTTCCTCTCATCATCTGTCTGTAGGTAGCAGTTGCTCAGGGTAAATTTTTCACAAACACCTCCCTCAGAAGCAAGCAGGTAGATAGATGGCATTTGATAGATGGCATTGCACATTTTGGTTTGCTGCTTGGCTAGTAAGTTAAGAGCTCTGGCATTTTCATTGGTTATAATTTCTACAGCTGCTTGCAGTCTGATTATGTGGTTTAGCACGTAAATGGGAGTGTGGTAGCCCCAAGACCCATCCTCTGCCCAGGGGGCAGGGCCATAATATTGGATTATATGCTCAGGAGGCCATTTATCATCTTTTTAATTACCAATCTGTAAGACACCCTGCTTCCTTTTAGTCTCCTTGTGTCCATACACTTGGACTCCCAAATGTTTCCCTCTGGCAAGTGGGATCAGGAAGACATGGACGAATAGTTTCCAGTACATATGACCCTGACCAGACTAGGGAGGTACTATATAGGCACTCCTTTTGCACATCTAGTGTAGTCCCCCTGGGGCCCACCATTTGATGGCTGCTTTGACATTGTCTTCAGCCTCTCGGAGATGAGAGAAGTTAGATAAGCGGTGGGGATCTGGCTTAAGGTGATCTGGGGTTCCCCAACATTGGGTTTTTTGGGCAGTTGAGTTATAAAATCTTTGGCCTAGGCATGTTAAGTTTTTAACAGAGATGGTGATGAATTTTTTCCCCACTAGACAAGACAGTCTTTCCCAATAATTGAGCTTTTGGGAAGCCAAAC